GGGGTATGCTTTAGCTTCAACCCACTTAGTAAAGTAGTCTGTCATCACCAGGATGTGTTGGTTCCGACCTGACATAGGCATCGGGCCGATTGCATCCATTGACCACCTCATGAAAGGGTATGGTGGAACGGCGGTTTGAAGGAGCTCAGTAGGTGCGTTGATGATGGGCGCGTGTTTCTGACACGGTTCGCACCGTAGTACGAATTGTTCGCAATCTTGGATCATTCTAGGCCAAAATAACCCATGCATCTTTATCTTCAAGGCCAATGCTCTTCCTCCAGAATGGTTGCCGCTTGCTCCTTCGTGAGTTTTGACTATTACTTTCTTTGCTTGTGCTTCGTCGCAGCACCGTAGTATCACTTTGTTTGCTGTCCATTGGAACAGGTTGCCGTCCTGAATGAAGTAGTGCGGTGCTTTCCTCCGGAGACGCCTAGCTGCCCATCTATCTTGCGGGACCGTTCCTTCAGATAGCTAGGACTTAATTTCATCTTGCCAAGGTTGCTTTTGTTGTTCGACATCTACTTCCATTGGGTCGTCCGCTTCATCTTCTTGATGAAGAACCATGTTGCAAGCTCCTTTGGATAGCTGGATGCTAGGTTGCTAGATGATTTCCACTGGAATTGTTCGGCGAAGTGCAGGGTCCGTTGTTGATGTCAATGCTGCCAGCGCATCGGCGGCAGTGTTCTCAGTTTGTGGGATTTAGTTATTTTGAAGGAGTCAAATTGCCTTGTTATTTCCTGGACCTGCTTCAGGTAAGCGTCCATTCGCTCGTTCTTCGCGTCGTAGTCTCCTTTGAACTAGCTGGCGACGAGCTGGGAATCACAAAAGGCATGAATATTTTTCGCTCCTACTTCTTTGGCGAGCCGAATCCCTGCGAGCAAAGATTCGTATTCGGCTTCATTGTTCAAGGCATGGAAGCCGAGATTGAATGATTGTTCAAGAACTTCTCCTGTTGGTGATTTCAAAAAAATGCCGACTCCTGACCCTTGCTTTGAGGATGCACCGTCGACGTACAAATTCCAGCAGTTTTTGGTAGGTGACTCATCATTTAGTAGATCCGGTGGTATTTCGATCATGAAGTCTGCTAAGACTTGAGATTTGGTGCTAGTTCGAGCGCGGTACTCGATATCATACTCGAACAGTTTTATCGCCCATTTAGCCATTCAGCAATATTGACTCGAGCTGTGCAGAATGCTCCGAAGTGGTTGACTGGTGAAGACGACAATAATGTGAGACTGGAAGTAGGGTCGCAGTTTCCGTGCCGAGATGATAACTGCATAGGCAAGTTTTTCTAGAGCCAGATAGCGAGTTTCTGCTCCATCCAGAGTCTTACTTATATAGAAGATTGGTTTCTGCTCGCCACAATCTTCCTTGACAAGGGCGCCGCTTAGTGCCGCTGTCGAGACTGCGATGTAAAGGTATAGAGTCTCGCCATCCTTTGGTTTAGCTAATATGGTAGGGGTGGTCAGGTACTCCTTCAACTGTGCGAACGCCTCTTTGCACTTGTCGTCTCAGTCAAAGCGTTTATTACTCCGAAGTAATTGATAAAAGGGGAGACATTTATCAGTTGAATGCGAGATGAATCTGTTTATCGCGGCAATTCTCCCGATTAGTTGTTGTACTTGTTTCAGTAGGCCCAATACATAATTTCAGTAGCCCAATAACAAACCATATACACGTGTTTACATGCAAGTTCTAAACAGAAAAAGCAAAACATGTGTTTCCTCGAGATAGAAGTTGCAGGAATGCTACCGTCGCCGGTAACTCCACCACCGCCAAGATCCAAACTTCAGATCTTTATGAGGATGCTGCAACCAGTCGCTGCTTTGACTTTCATATGTAATGGCCATTAGAAGATGAAGAAGTTGCCTTGCATCATTAGAAATTAACACCGAGAATTGTTAGAAGAGAAGAATTAGAATATTCACCGGATCGCTACAAAGAACGCCGATTCTATAGATCCCACACCCTAAACTTCCAATTAACTTCCCAATAACTTGATTTAACTTCTCAAAGAAAACCTTTGCTCCCGAGAAACAGCATGAAAACAAAGAATTAATTCTCAAAAGTAAAATCAAGCATACCAACATAGAAAAATTTCTCTATATTCTTCTGGAATTTGTAATTAAAACATACGAAAGAGAAAAGAGGAAACAAAATCCAATAAATAGAATTATTTATCCGACAAGCAGAATTAAAAGTTCCGATCAAACGGAAAACATACTATAAATATTAACTCCGAACTAAAATATATAGTAGGGTACCAGCGTCAGATTAACGCCCACCACCGGTCAAAAAGAAACTCAGATTTGAGAAAAATTGTTTGAAGGTACGAAAAGATTAAGAGAGAGAAAAAGTTTTTAGTCAAACTCTGTAAAGTTCAAGTAGCAACTACTTAAAGTTAACATCTTACACTTTATACAAGTCAACGACCATCTATAGCAAAAGATCGATGGCTAAGAGTTTTTTTGTTTGACCTCCCCACATGCTTGGAATTTTCTTTACCTATAAATATATTGGACTTTTTTTCCCTTGCCTACGGCGGCTAAGTTTGAAATAAATCCATAACATTTAAGAATCGAGCTGAAACAAATTAATGGGATATATATATAGAGTGATTTATTTGTTGCCAATAAATGTGAGTTAAATACTCATGAAGGAGTACTAGTAAACGATTGAATGGTTTTAACACAACATGAATAATTAGGACAACAAAAAAATAAAAATAAAAAGAATAACTAAGACAACTTTTAATTTGTTAACTAAATATTTGAATGGTTTTAGTCGATTATATATACTACTTTGTTTTCAGAGATATTAATTAAGATTGTAAGATTATTACTCCATCTACTTTATAAAAAGTGTCATTTGTAAAAATTAAAAAATTTAATAAAAAAAGTTTTTTTTATAAATATATTTAACAATTTTTTTAAACAGTATAATAATATAACAAAATTAAAACTGGATTTTTGTTAAAAAATTTGCATTGTAAATACAAAACAATATTTTTTATAAAACAAAACAAAACTTTAAAGTAATATTTTTTAAAAACGGAGAATATATCTTCGTAGCCACTAGTAATAATAAAAACATAGGGATGGTACAGGGATCGGAAGATGTAAAAAAAGTCAACTTATCAGTCGGTTCCATTGTGAGCATATGCGGAATATTATCTGCCAACAGTTCCTTTGGACTAGACCATTTATATCTTTAAAAAATATATTACTTAAAAAGCAATTTCAACGAAGATATTTTTATATATAACTATTAATGAAGATAACTACAAGATTAAAACATTACATGATAAGAACGATAAGAAGAGACAAAGAAAATGTTATCTAGAAATATCTAAATATATTTTATCTTAAAGTTTTATATTCATGGAAGTATACAATTAATATAGTTTCCTAAAAATGCAGAAATTCTAAGAACATAATAAGTAATTAGAAATGAATGTGATTCTTCACACTAACTGAACTAAAACAGTATATATAGTTCAAGCATTAATTTTGGATCGATGAGTTACACTTCCCGATTCAGAAATGATCAGAGTTGAGAACATGCACGAAACTATATACTTCTTGATACTTCATGAGCATTTTTTATTTTATTTTCATGAGCTTTTGTTATTTTCTAATAATTGGGCAAGTGAACGCAACAAAAAGTAATGCATTGTGATAATTTATACTACTGACTAATTTTCCAATACGAAATTAATTTGGTGAGTCGACCACATGGGATAATACACAAAAGACAAAGCGAACTTTTTAATAAAAAAATTTATAATGAACCGTACGGTCAATTGGCTTTTAGTTAACGTCAAGTGTCATTCATTTTTTGGTGTGAAACTTCAAGACATATACATACTCAACATTAAGAAGATTTTGAAAATTAACAATATATGTATATATTATTGTAATCAGATGCAAACCTGCATTAGGCACTAGGCAGACTCCTCATGGTTGTATACATTAGCTACGAATACGCAAACTGGACGCTAAGCCGGCGGTGAAAACGACACGTTGTTCTACTGCATTTTATTCAACACGTACGTAATAATATAATTCAATAATGGGATATATATTTGCATAGATAGCTGTGCTTTGATGAATATATGGTACAAGTAATTGATTAATGAAGCATATTATTATAATTAAACAAATAATTTTATAATGAATAGGGCACGTAATTGGCATTATGCATAATATACTACATTATGTTTATTACTAATAGAATATTCTTATATCCGTATGAATTACATAAAAATTTCTGAAGCCATAAACATTAAACATAAGTTCTGATCAATCATAATGAAACTCATTATTCAAACCTTATCAGTGGATCCACCTAACTATACACACCATGCTTATATTAGATCTCCAACTCCTCTATAAATACTAAGCAATTTCTCTTTTCCAACTTACACCAAAGCAAAAAAACGACATAGGCTACAAAGAAGAAAAAGAGAACTACCATCTTCATCGTCTAAAAGTCTTCCTCTTCATTTCTCCCATTTTCTTTGAACAAAAAGACCAATGGCTCCAAACCATTCTAATGAAGACAGCTATATTGGGAGCTCCTTGCATGGAGTCACGGCAAGGGAGCAAGTCTTCTCCTTCTCCGTCCACGACGAAGGTGGCCCTTCATCTCAAGCTGTCCGATCGGACGATCCAACGGCTAAGTTTGCCTTACCCGTGGACTCAGAACATAGAGCAAAAGTGTTCAAACCGTTATCATTCGCCAAACCACACATGAGAGCCTTCCATTTAGGATGGATCTCTTTCTTCACTTGCTTCATCTCCACCTTCGCGGCTGCACCTCTAGTCCCTGTCATCCGCGACAACCTCGACCTGACCAAAACTGACATCGGAAACGCCGGGGTAGCATCGGTCTCCGGCGCCATTTTCTCAAGACTCGCTATGGGTGCCGTATGTGACCTTCTTGGGGCACGTTACGGCACCGCCTTCTCTCTTCTTCTCTCGGCTCCAGCCGTTTTCTCCATGTCTTTCGTAGCTGATGCTGGAAGCTACTTAGCCGTGCGGTTCATGATCGGTTTTTGCTTAGCGACGTTCGTGTCATGCCAATACTGGACAAGCGTTATGTTCAATGGTAAGATTATCGGACTCGTTAACGGATGTGCCGGAGGGTGGGGAGACATGGGAGGCGGTGTTACTCAGCTACTCATGCCAATGGTCTTCCACGTCATCAAACTGACCGGAGCAACTCCTTTCACGGCGTGGAGGTTCGCCTTTTTCATCCCTGGGATCCTTCAGATCATTATGGGCATTCTTGTCCTCACTCTCGGCCAAGATCTCCCCGACGGTAACCTCAGTACACTCCAAAAGAGTGGTCAAGTTTCCAAAGACAAATTCTCCAAGGTAGATTATTTGTATCTAATCAAACAAATTACTAAATATTTAAATATTTTGAGATAATAGCATTTTTAATTTCTAAATATTTAAATATTTTGAGATAATATGTGGTTCTAATTACATTTTTAATGTTCTCTTTTAATAGGTCTTTTGGTTCGCTGTGAGAAACTATAGAACATGGATCTTATTCGTTCTTTACGGATTCTCTATGGGAGTTGAATTAACGATCAACAACGTTATATCCGGATACTTCTACGACAGGTTTAACCTTACACTTCACACAGCCGGTATTGTAGCAGCCAGTTTTGGTATGGCAAACTTCTTCGCCCGTCCTTTCGGTGGCTACGCCTCAGATGTAGCTGCCCGGCTCTTCGGAATGAGAGGAAGATTATGGACCTTGTGGATCTTGCAAACCGTTGGAGCTCTCTTCTGCATCTGGCTCGGCCGTGCTAGTACACTCCCTATAGCTATCTTAGCCATGATGCTTTTCTCCGTAGGCACACAAGCAGCTTGTGGAGCACTCTTCGGAGTTGCTCCTTTTGTTTCCCGGCGTTCCCTCGGCCTTATCTCGGGTTTAACCGGTGCTGGAGGAAATTTTGGGTCGGGAGTTACTCAACTTCTTTTCTTCTCCTCTTCAAGGTTTAGTACAGCTGAAGGACTATCGTTGATGGGAGTTATGGCAGTCGTGTGTACACTTCCGGTTGCGTTTATTCATTTTCCGCAGTGGGGAAGCATGTTCTTAAGGCCGTCGCAACACGAAGAGAGATCAAAGGAGGAGCATTACTATGGATCGGAGTGGACAGAGGAAGAGAAGAGCTTAGGACTACACGAGGGAAGCATTAAGTTCGCCGAGAACAGCCGGTCAGAGAGAGGCCGAAAGGCGGGTTTGGCTGATAGTCCAACACCGCAGACTGGAAGTCCGGCTCATGTCTAGTTGAAGGATGATAATCACGTTTAAAATCTTTTTTTCCATATACAAATAATCCTCAAGAGTTTAGCTTTTATGTTTTCTTGTTTTATGTTTCTGTCTTATGAGAGATGTACCGAGTAAGATCCTGACTTGTTAACTGAGGTTTCAGCGAGCCCGGTGCTCGTGATGTAAAATGTCGTTATATATAAAAGGCTTATGCATCAGTTTTCTCTACGTTCTATAAACGAGCACTGTCATTAAAACTCTTCCAAAATCAAATTATTTCATTCAAGAACTGAAAAAATGAGTGTTTTGAGGCGCAACAAGTTCTACATGAAGAAACCGTTCTTCCTTGGAGACACGTCACAGAGGTAGATAGATATAAACAAAGACCAAAGAAGAAGCAATTGACTCTAGTAACGACACCGGAAGAATCAAGAAAGAGTAGGAAGAAACTAAACTAGTATGACACCGGAAGATTGCAAATGTAAAACTAAAGTTTGATATGAGAGGTTTTAAATATTACAAGAAAGCTAATGCTAAACTTTGGAATTATGTTTCTGAAGAAAAGAATTTTAACGTACTCGGCGAAAGGAGGCGCTAGAAGCTTATCTTTCCACTTCCACCACATGTTATACAAGATCGCGTGGAAGAACACTTAGTGCAGTAGCTCCATTTCTTGGGAAGCCTAAGAAGAAATGTGTATTTTTGTCTGTTGAGAATCAATGAAAGAACAATGAGAAGAGATTTTTTATTTATCTATTTAATTATTACCCGGCTGTATATCGTGTGGCCATGTTCTTTGCGGTGAGTCTTGCTTTCTCAGCGTTTTCATCTGATAGTTTCTTCAAGACAAAGCCTTCACCTTTGCACTCAGAACAGATCCCCGAACCGCCACAAACTTCACATTCTTTCATAGAAACCTGCCAATTATAATTTAGATAACAGTTTTCACCAAGATTTGTGTTCATGTGACATATATAATAACGAAAACAAGAATTACCTCGGCTTCTTCAGAGGCTTTGGTACTTCTCCGAACAAGAAGAGTGGCTGCAGTACCAACAACCGTGGCTGCAATCGCTACAGAAACAGCTGTTTCAACTAAAGCCGGAATCGCTGTTGATGTTGATGATGATGACCTCTTCGCTCTCTGATGTGAGGGATTTTTCATATCAAAGAACGAAATCGAGTTTAAGAACCTCACATCCTTAACACCTAACCACAAGAATCAACTCCGGTAAGTATATCCACAAGTGTTGAAATATGAATATGTATATTTAACACAAAAAAGTGAAATGGTGAAGAACTCTATTTTTCTTTTATAAAACGGTAAAATCGAAAATATGAAATTTGAAATCGTTTTAGAGAACTCCAAAACTTCAGAACTAAGACGACCAAACGAATTTGAGACCCAATTCGATTTATTAATCCAAAATTGGATTGTTTATTGATGTTTCTACTCGATTCATCAAATCAGAATTATCTTAGAAATCTACGGTTTTTTTGTTAGGTCGAAACCAAACGTTGGGTCCATTCAAACTTCACAGACTCAGAGAGAAGAAAAGAAAATTGAGAATTAGGGTTATGTTAAGCTTACTTGAAACAGAGGCGGGGAATGAATAAGATCGGAGCTTGAAACAGAGCTCCATCGCAACAGAGAAACTTTCAATTCTTTCATTTCTTCACTTCGAGTCCAAAACCTTATCTTGTCCGCTGGCCATATTTTCCCTTTTTTTTTAATCACTCACTCAACGGTTCAAAATCTAAATTCAATACCTAAACCAAACCGGTAGAAGGTATTAGAAGAGGAGAACAACAAAGTATTTTAACTTAAGATTCATATTCAACAATGTCTCACAGATCTAATCTCTATTCAAAATTTGTTATTTGATTTTGAGATAATGATCTTTCTTCAGTATATTAATTAAATATGTTATCTGTTATCATAATTTTCTATTTTCTATTTGTTTTAAACCGTGTTTATTATTTCTTTCTCTGATTACTATGATGGTTAGTCTACACATATATACAAGTATGAAAATTTTAATAAAATTTTAATACTTGCAAATAATAATATTTATTATTTATAATAAAAAATAATTAACATATACAATAATACATTTGTAAAGTTTTAGTTTATGATTCTTCTTTATTCTTCGTTTTCTTTGATATATATATTTTATTTATATTTTTTCATCTTATTGTAGTTTTTCTTTTCATTCTATCATATTTCGTCCAACTTCTGGTTCATAATTCTCACTATATAATTATAATACATTCAAATATAATATAATTTTAGTTCTTTGTTTGTAATGACACAAGATGAGATGATAATAAAATTTTAAAAATTCTCCCTACAAAAATCTGATTTTGTAAATTTCACACCAAAATTTTGAATTTGTAAATATCCTTCCAAAAAACTTACTTAAAAATACGATTCCAAAAATTTTAGTTCAAAAACCTGTTTCAAAATGTAATATGTGTTAATGTGGCTATTGGTCAAAAAGCTTCTTCCGTCGCTCATTCTACAAATTTTCCGCCAAAACATGAATCAATAACTTTCCCACCAAAACATTATGTCAAAAAGATGATTCTAAAAATATTTAGTCGAAATTTTGACTATGAGAATTACTCACCAAAACATTATATTGAAAATGCGATTCCAAAAAATTTCAGTCATAGATTTCCCATCAAAAGTGATATTTCACTAATTTTTTGCCAAATATTCTGAATCTATAAATTGCTCGTCAAAATATTATGTCAAAATGTGATTTCAAAAGCTTTCTGTCAAAATTTGATGACACAAATTTCTCATCAAGTATTTGAATCCGTAAATTATGTATCAAAATTTTTACATTGAAGACCAAATATGATTTCATAAATTTTCCGATCATGATTATAATATTTTTTTTTTTAAAAAGTGAATATGTGAATTTTTCGCCAAAGAAGTGAATGCATAAACTACTTGTTCAAAAAATTACTTTATAAATGTGATTTCAAAAAGTTTTCGTGAATAATTTGATTTTGCAAAATTTTCACAAAAAATTGTGAATCCATAAATTTCATGTCAAAATGTGATTTTAAAAACTTTATGGCAAAAACCGATTGCCACCAATTGTTCACCAAATATTTGAAATCTGTAAATTTTCGGACAAAAATTTTATGTTGAAAATGTGATCTTAAAACTTTCTTATTTCCCAAAATTTTGCCAAAAATTTAAATACTTAAATTTTGTATAAAAAATATAACATCAAATATATTAAATAATATTATATCACAAGTCACAATTACATACATGTCATCATTTTCACATCATATTTAAATTGCTCAAAATGAATATACAGTAGAACCTCTATAAATTAATACTCGATAAATTAATAATCACTATAAATTAATAATTTTTATCGGTCCCAAGTCGGGCCAGTGTAAAAATTGACAAAATTAGGTAAGATAATAAGATAATACTTTTTTGAAAGTTCTATGTAAAAATATAGTCCCAATAATAATAAAAATTAATAACTATACATTTAGGCATACATTAATAATATAATATAGTAAACTATGATAATATTGTTGTCTCAAGTTTATAAATTTTTTTTGATTTATCTTCTAAATTCATTATTATGACATTTTTTGAATGAATTTTACAATGTTGAAAATATTGATTTTGCTTTTTTGATGAATATTAAAAATTCAAACTAAAACTATCTCTATAAATTAATAAAATATTAATTTATCGATTAATTAATAACTATATAAATTAATAAAATTTGAGAGTCCCAACATTATTAATTTATAGAGGTTTTACTGTACTAAGCAATATAATTAAAACAAGACAGTTTTTTATTAAACTACCTTACCAATTAATATGTAGAAGATCCGTAAATGTTTCGACAAAAGTTTTATGTTGAAAATGTGATCTCAAAACTATTTGATAAAAATCAAATTTTCTAAATTTTTTGCTAAAAACTTAAATACTTAAATTAAATACTTAACTTCTGTATAAAAAATTAACGTCTAATTATATATATATAATAATATTTTGTTATAAGTTACATATATTTAAAAAAATAACATGTCACAATTACATCATTATTATACGTCATCGTTTTCACGTCAAATTTATATTGTCCAAACTAAATATACTAACCAATAGAATTGAAATAAGCATTATTTTTCATTAAGCTACTTTATCAATTAATAGGTAGAAGATTGTTAATAGAGTAGTGGTTTTTCAGTGAAGAGATAAATTTAACATTTTTCAGTGAATCCACTACATATTATTTGAGAAGTAACATTATTGAAAATTGCTTACTTGTCAACACTACAATCAAAATTAGTGCTTTTAATTGATGACATGTAAATGTGACATGTCAAACTTCCTAAAATAAACGAAATATTTTGATTGGTTGAATTGAAATTATAGAAATTGTAGAATTAAAACATAAATAAAATAAATTATATTTATTACACTAAAATTAACAAATTTAAATTAATAGAAAATAAAAGCTATTATAATTTTATTTTTTTACATATATTCATAATTTCATAAAAAATAATTACGAAATTTTTTCAACAGTATATATATATATATATTATAATTTCATATAAAAATAAAAAAATAATATTAAATTATCCAATAGAATAGTAAAAATTCTATTTATTAATAATACTTTAAGTATGATATATTTTTATTTCGGAAAGTTATTAATTAAATCTAAAAGTTTTAAATAAACAAATTATTAAATAATACAATTTTAAATAAAATACAATCATGATAAAAATAATTTAAAGAATAAAATGTTAAAACTAATAAAAATAAATAACGTTTTGTTGATTTTTTTTTTAAAAACGTAATTTAAAAAAATAGTTTCAAACCATTATTTACTAAATGAATAAAGTATATACTAATTATTATTTTATAATATTAATAGGACCATATATTTTTCTATAACTTTTATCATCTTTTTATTGTTGTTTTCTAAAATATGCATAACTTATGTTACCATCTCATCTTATCTCTTATCATATTTTAAATAAAAATAAAATTTTATATCATATTAATATATATACATAATTTTGTTTTTATTGTATATCAAAATTTTGAGATCATAAATGAATTGAAAAATAACCGAACGAAAGAATAAATTATAATAAGAAGAAACAATATGAATAAGAGATAAAAATAGAAGTATATAAAAACAAAATCTCTCGCCCTTTGTTTTACAAAGTCACTTAAAAAGATTTTAATACGTAAGAGCAATCCTAATGGAGAACTTTGGGTGTCTAAAACATCTTAATAATAAAAATGAATAAAAAAATAGTGAAAGGGTCTTAAAATATAGACACAATGTCTAAAATATGATACTTTTGTTGAGTTAAGACACCCAATGTCTAAAATAAATAATAAAATATTTTTAAGACCTTCTTAATAAGTTCTCCATTGGGGTTGGTCGCCATATTTCAATTTGTTTTTACAAATACGTGTACATATATAATTATTAGTTGTACATTAGTTAAAGTCACATGCAAACTTTTTCGTGCATGTATTTTGTTAAGATTGGTTACAGTCTAATTTTTATTTTAATTATTATCCAATTTATATTTTTTTAAAAAATCTTTATTATTCTAAGTGTAGTGAAGTGATTGGTATGCCCGCACATGCGTGCCAACCATCTATCCGCTCTTAGGAATAAGTGAAAATGGTAAAAACTATTTCAGTTTAATTTGCAATAAATCAAGAAAAATATATACTTAAAATATATTATATATGTATTTACAAACTCATATTATGTAAGACGAAAAAAGCATATTGTAGATTGTGTAAGAAGAAATAAAGCATATTAATATTATAAGAATTTAATTATTATTTAACATAACTTTTATATTTGTGATTATATACTATTACAAACATTATAAAAATAAAAGTAATAAAATACATTGATTTCAGAAAAAAGTTTGTGAAATATTAAAACAATATATATATACAAACATACAATATTTAAAATTTAAATATTACAATTAACTATGTATATCAAAAAATTATACCCGTACATATATGCGGGCCAACCAACTATTATTTTCCTTTATTAGATATTAGTAAATATTTCATCAATTCTTTCATTTTTTATTATTTAACAATCGATGAAATATTTACCAAGATCTAATAAAGGAAAATAATAGTAAAGTTTTTTCTCTTTAACTAAAAAAAATTCATGTCATTCATTTTTTTTCAAAAAGATGAAGAATTCTGTTAAATGTTTTACAATGTAAACAAAAAGACTAATTTAATTATTTGAAGTAAGAATTCTATGATTCAAAGTGAAAGTATAAAAATCTCATAGTTTAAAACGCTACTGATTTATTGACACAAGACTTGAAATCGCTTCAAGTTATATTCCTTTGAAATCGGACCTATTGACACAAGACTTGAAATCGCTTCAAGTTATGCTCTTTTAAAATTGGACCT